TCCAAGTGGCAAAGTCAAGAATTAAACCCAGGCCTGCCTGTGAGATTCAAAGCCCGGGTCCTTAATCATGACTCTGCTCCTTCTCTCATGGAGACTTCCTGGCTCTGTGCATCTCCTTCCCGCCCCGGGTTCCCCTCTCCCCTCCATGGAAGTGTCTGCAGGGAATGCTTACATGATTGCCGGCAGGTAACAGTTGAGGGCCCTTCTGTATCCCACCACCATTTTCCTTGGCATTACTTTCTCATGATGCTTCAGGCAGCAGGTGTGAGAACTGTTCAACGATGCAGGACTTTCTGAGGGGATCACATTGAAAGCTGAGCCAAGCATGTGTAAAGGGAGCCCATGGTTGCCTACCTTCACCTCCCATCCCTTGCATTCCACACCTCCGATGGCTCAAAGCCATCTGTTAGCAGGGGCTGATGGTAGCTTGATGGGTAACAGAGAAAGTGAAAAAAGGGGTGGGGGAGGACACACATGTAGAACCTCCAGCCTCTGAACTGAGCTTCATTGAGGGCAAATGCCTTGGTTATTCATCTTTGCTGGTGGACCAGGGCTTGGTTTGGCAAACATGTATCGGGCTCCTATTATATGCCAAGCTCTCAGGGGGCAAAAAGCATGAGGAAGCCACAGTCACAACCTCTTGAGTATCTCCCAGTCTAGTCGGGGTGAAAAGGGAAAGTGAAGAGGTAAATACTACAGTGAACGTGGTCTGGGATAGAACAGAATTTGGCACAAGGTGCTTTGGAAACAGAACGAGAGACACCTAACCCAGCCTGGGTGGCTGCGGAAGAAGTCCCATAGCACGCGGGGCCTGGCTTGATTCTTGAAGGCTGAGCAGGACTGAGACAGACAAAGGGGTTGTGGGGTCTGGAAGAAAGAACGGTATGAAGGTCCAAAGGTGGGGGAAACTGTGTGTGGGGGAGCACTGAGCAGTTGCAGGTGGCTGGAATGCAATGTGAGAAGAAAGACATAAGAGATGAAATTGGGGCTCCTGGGTGGCTCAGTCGGTTAAGCGTCTGCCATTGGCTCAGGTCATGATCCTGGGGTCCTGGATGGAGCCCATCAGTCAGGCTCCCTGCTCGGTGGAGCACCTGCTTCTCCCTTTCCTTCTGCCCTTCCCCACCCTGACTCACGCTCTCTCTCTCAAATAAATAATAATAATAATAATAATAAAGAGAGATGAAATTGGGGTGGGGGATGACCAGCACACCTGAGCTGTGGGAGGGGAGTGTGGACTCAATCCAGAGGTATTAGAGGGGCTGATGTCCGGGAGAGGAGGGTGAGACGAGCAATGAGCCAGAGAAGTTAGGGCGGGAAGAAAAGTGTTTGAATTTAGGCTTCGGGTCAGACATCTTGAAGAGGAATATTGACTAAATGATTTGGATCATGGGTAGGTTTTATCTCTCTAGGTCTCCTCATCTATGAAACGAGGGTAAAAAGATGCTTATATCCTAGAATCTGGGTGAGGGTTAGTTGAGAAAATGCTGGTAAAACCCTTAGTTCAGAGCATAGCGCATAGAAAGTATGTCAAGTGTTTGTTATAATTAAGAGCAGATGGTAGGAATGACCATTCTTCTTGCCTGGAAATGCCACTTTCCCGCCTCTCTTTGATGCTGACAGGATACTGGCCTCAGTTGGTTGTTAGGACTGTGTTTCCCTTGAGCTCTGGCTGCTCATCAGTTCGGGATATCACAGAGGATGGCAGGCAGAGACCTTCCCCATCCCCCAAAACTGCAGAGTGCAAAACCTTTTGCAGCCTGACCCCTTGCTTCCAGCCGGTGGCCAAGACGGGAATATCACGAGAGTACCATTTGGCCCATCCATGCTTTGGCTGGTCCATTTTCTCTTTTTGAAAAACTGAACCCATTGCAGTGGTCTGTTCGACCTTCCCTAAGGGCATGGTTGCCTCCTGCCACCCACCAGTTGCAGCTGTGCTCATAGTGATGTCCATGACCCCAGTACTCAAAGCAAAGTTTACAGAGTTCAGGGGCATTTTGAGAGTGTGTGAGCAGATTCCATGGTGTGTGTGACCCTTGCTCCCCTGAGGGCTCATACAGGCAGAGTCCGGCCAGACCACATGCCCGGGGTAGCCTCAGAGAGAAAAGAAGGGCTGGGGCACCTGAAGGTGGAATGTGGTTTCTTTCATAAATGGTGGTTGAGTCAGGGGTAGAAAGTAGGCTAGACAAACCTTGTTTTCCATAGGTCCTAAGCCTCCCGTGGCTCCAAAAGCTTTCTACCCCATCCTCTTTTCCTCTTTTCTATGGGCTTTTCCTCTTTTCTATGTGGACGTTTCTATGGACTTTATGCCCATTCCCCAGACCTGGGCTGAGGAATAAGGATAGAGGCCATGAAATCCTTGCACTGTACACCTGGGCATCCCATTGGGCCTTCTTTTGGCTGCCATGATAGTCCCAGAAATCTGTGCCAGACTCTGCAATGAAGGGGTGTCTAGGTTCAGAGTCCCCACTCCTGGGCACAGCCGCCTCCCCAACACCTTTTGTCCCACTCTCCCAGAGCATCTGCTGCTTTTCTCGTCCACCTGTCTTGCTCTCCTTTCATTGCTCATTTTTATTATCTCTTCGGTTACTTCCTTGGCTCCCCCAAAGGATCATTCCTGTTCTCCATCCTTGGGATGCCTGACGTGACCTTGACCCAGCTTCCTGAAACTGCGCGATGACCCCAGCCCAGCTCTGCTTCTGAAGGGAAGAGTTTGTGAACAGCAGGTGTGCCTGTGGGAGGGGAGGAGGCCCTGTGGCTGATGACAGAGACATGACAGGGCTCTTGGCATCACCTCGCTGCCTGCTGCCCTGTCTCCCTCTCTCATTCCTGCCCTCCAAGGACAGGTGGACTCACTTGACTGGCCGTGCAAAGCAGGAGTGGTGAGGATGAGGATGAGGAGAAAGAGGGCAGCCCCGGAGACCTTCATCCTCTCAGGGGGGCCCTTCAGCTTCGGGAGAAAGGCTGGTCGTCCAGTCTGACTTCACAGCTCTCTGGACTCTGACTGCTCCAGAGCCGGTGGGGGAGAGAGGCGGTGCCTCCCTCCGTGTTTGCTGAAAGAGGGGGGCGGGACCTGGCACAGCTGAATTAGTAAGATGTAAGTTCAGTGGAAGGAGAGGACTGGAGAAAGGGCGCATGTAGTTCGTGTGTGCTGGGTGTCGGCCACTGTGTATGCCTTCTTTTATTTAATCCTTGCAGTAGCAAAGCCGAGATTCTCTGTTTTAAAAATGAGGCCCCTGAGGCTTGGAGAAGTTAAAGAAATTCTCCCAGGTCACACAGGTGGGAGGCAGGCAGTTCTGAAAATCGGATCCATGTGATTTCTCCACCTTACTTGACACCCTTCTTTATTTTGGGGGAGGGGGGAGGGTGGAACCACCCCAGTTCCCCCAGGGGATCCGTCATTGGGAAGGTGACCATAAAGCAGGATTAGAGAGTGCACAGACTGAGGCAAGGGGTAGGGTTTGGGCCTCCGAAAACCATGTCCCCCGTTCCCAGTCTAAGGACACCTGATGGAGCTCGTGCTTGTTCCTGTTACAGATTATGTTACTAATACATAGAGAAAAACAATGTGTTGATCCTTGGATCCTCATTTATTGCTGACGTGTTTGGCTTGTTTGTTGATTTTTTTTTTTTTTTAAACTCTTTGGACCTTGGACTCTGAACCAGTTTTAGGTCTAGCTGGCCATCCCTCCTGCCTACCTGCAATAAGGGTTCACCCACCCCTCCTCTTTGACCAATGATGGCCAGCAGAGGGCGCTCCAACATCATGCACCTGACAACCTGCCTCTGTGTCCCAGACCTCCAGCTTCTGAGTCCTGGCTTTAACCAGGGCTGACCTATCCCTCAGCATCTTCTCTCTTCACACTGCCTCAGGATCCCATACCTGAGGTTGAAGGCAGATTCAGAGAAGAGATGGAAGATCCAGGAGTTTTTGCTGTTGATGGACTGCAAGCTGTAGAGGCCGAGGGGGTAGCGTTTCAGTAAATGAGAGTAGAGGGAGGCAGGGCCAGATTGAGACCCTTATGGGGCTTCCTGTTTCACATGACTGCTCATAAATAGGGAAAAGTTGTATAATGCATTTAGTCCTGCTGGGTTCAAGTTCAGTTAGTGGTGGTGAAGCTGTGGCTTTTTATCAGGGTAGAGAGGGTATGTCTGGGGATACTCCTTCGGGTGCTGTTTATGGAGGCAAGGAGGTCTGGAGAAGCTTGGTTGTACCTTTAGCATACAAGCCTCCTCTTGGCCCTGGTCTTGGAAGGCCGGTGGCTAGGGAAGCATGGCCACAGTGCCTACCCTGGGCATGTTCTTACTCCGGGTACACAGAGCTGCCCCTGGAATTCTGAAGATGGGTATGAGAAACTTTGGGGGCAGCTGGGTGTTATTCATGGAGCACAGCCTCCTCTTGATTCCTGCCCCATCCCTTCCCATCGATCCATCCACTTCCTGAGCACCTGCCATAGGCCAGGCTTTCTGTTAGGCCTTGTGGAGGACACAAAAATGGCTCTAACAATACAGTGCAACCTGATGTATGTAAGTGGAGGGGAAGGGTTGGATTAACATATGTCCCCAAATCATTCTTACCCCAGATGGCTGGGAACAAGGGCCTTGGGAGCAGGACAAAATGAAGGAATTTGAAGATGGGCTGCTATGAAGAAGGCTTTATGAAGATTTACCTGAAAAATCAGGTGATAGCTCTTAGCTTTACACTTGTGTAGCTTATATAAGATAATATACATATTATATAAGATAATACACATATAAGATAATACACATAGGCTACTTAGCAGACAGGAGGATAGAAAGTGCTAAGACAATGGTGTTTGTTACCATCATGATGATTTGTGTAAAGGTGGCCTCAGCTTCCCGCTACCCCCATCACAGGCCTGACCTGTTTTTTGCATTCAGGGCAGACCTCACTTCTGCAGAGTGAAGCCTGATGCTGAGGGTGCCACTCTGGCTGGGCTCCAATGAGGAGATTCCATAGAATTGAGCAAGGGCAGGGAGGGTGTGAATTCAAGGTCTTTAATTCATGGCAAGGCAGCTCCCGAGAGGCGGCTGGGGTGGGGAGTTGGGGCTGGGAAGGGGGCCATGGCCTCTTCTCTTTAAGATGGCCAGCCGTGCCCTCCTCCACTACTTCCGGGTCACTCGTTTCTCCTCCAGGTCCTTGATGTAGTTCTGGACCCAGTCGTCCCTGGGGTTGGCACATACGGAATGGCCCTTTTTGGTGATGAAGCTGTGAAACAAAAGGGAAAAGTGTTGCCAACGGGGCATCCAGCAGCTGGGAAGTGAAAGCCGGTCTGCCCTCCCTAGAAAACACCTCACCCCCTTAGGCTGCTGCTCCTTCCTTTGCTAGAGGCAGCTCAAGGCCAGTCTCCTCTCTGAGACCTGCTCTCCAGCCCCTGGGGACCCCTGGAACAATCAAGTCTCCATGCTCCCCTGCCCCTAGAAGTGCCCTCCTGCCTTCCCTTCCCCGCCCCTGCTGCCTTCCCATCCATGGGGTCTGCTTCCTCCTGGCTCCCTGCAGGCTCAGCCAGGCCAGAAACCCCCCAGGTTGCCCCTCCGCTGCCTGCTGCTGCCCCTGAGAGGCGATCTGGGGAGTCTCCATTCTGCGTCCTCCCTCCCCCCTCCCCCACCTTGTAGGCTCCCTGTCTCCCAGTGGGGTGTGGGGGTTCTACTTACACAACTCCAGGCTTGGAGCACTGGCTGCTGGTCTCATAATAATCTGTGATCCGGTGACGTGTGATTGCCTGGGCAATGTAGCTGACGCAGCACTCGGCCGGGTGGTAAGGTCCTCCTGAGGAGAAAGCAGGGAGGGAAGCTGGGCCTGGGCTCGTTGTCAGAGGCCAGACCTGCTGGCTGCTTTGGCACAACACAGGGTGGAAGAGGGAAGGAAGGAGGAGGTGGCCCCACTGAACTCGGACATGGGATTGTGCAGATTCGTTCCTCTTTCCCTCCTCCTGCCTCAGCAACCACCTTCCTTCCTGCTCTTCCACCGCGCCTAGAAAGACTGGCTGGCGACCTTCAATTCCAGACTGAAGATTAGCAAAACCCAAATCTTCGCAGGGACTACACACCACTCCTGTGGGGCAGGCTCACACAGATGCTCCACACAGGAGGAATATTTGGAAGAAATCCCCATGGGGGACAGGGACACGTGCCAGTTGGGAGTGCAGACCCAGCCCTTCCAATCTGCCCCTTCTGCCTGTGTCCCCACTGAACCCCTGTCCTGCAAAGAGGGAAGGAAGCTGACATGAAGGCCCAAGGACAGGGAGTCAGGACACCCAGGTCCCAACCTCCCCTTGCCTTTGCTAGCTTTGTGCCAATGGCAACTTTATTCCCCGGTTAGTTTCCTCATCTGTCAATGAGGCTGTTGGACTGGATTGGTGGTTTCTGCACTGAGGGGTTTTACTCTCTGAGGGTCTGGGGGCTTTGGGGTCTGTTTCAGAGATACTGATGCACTTAAGAGTAAAGTTTTGGGGATAGTATCCCTTTTGGCTCTTTTTGCTGTTTCACATACTAAATTTCTGAGTAAGAATTTGCTTGAAGAAATGTTCCGCTGTCTAAAAAAATGTTAAACATCTCTGGATTAGGTGAACTTTCCATTTATTTTCTGATTCTGGAATTTCATGGCTCTTCTAGGAGGTGCGGGAGGGGGACAATCACACATACAGTCAAGCTTGACTTATGGAGATAGCAGGAAGGGCATTTCTGACCAAGGGCCCTGGAGAAAAGGAGGCACCGTGGTCATGTAGTGGAGTGATGGGGGTGTGCACGTTATGGACCAACCTGGACAGAACCGGGAGTGTCCGAGCAGTGACCTCCTTGGTCACCAGGGACAGGCGCATGTGTGGGTGGGAGGGCAAGGCCTGTCCTTTCACCCAGTTAGCATCCTCCCTCCCTGAAGAATGCGATAAGGGGTCCGCTGGTCCCTGAGGCCACTCCTACCCTATCCCTCTAAGCTCCAAACGCCTTCTCAGAGAGGCAAATCAAACTGCCCAGATTCCCATTAAGTTAGATCAGATTTATTTCCATAACCTCCTCTGTTTCCTCCCAGTTTCTGAAAAGGAGAAGAGGTAAAATTGAAGGGTGAGGCATAGTTTTGGTTGTGTATGAAGGCAGCTCATCCCAAGTAATAAGCTGGGGAAAGGGTGGTTGAGGTGTGACCCCCCACTGTTATGATTCCCCTAAGCCCACACCTAACTGAAGCTGCTCTCATGGGGTGGGGCTGACTCTGGAACCAGGTGGCTCCCATCTCAAGAGGTAAGCAGACAAGTGGCCTTAAGGGTCTCCCCAAAATCCTCCTCTATCTCCCTGGGGATAATGTCCCCCAAATGGGGTGGGCCACTTTTACTTAATGGCAGAGAGAGATGGACTGAAGGAGTAGTGAGACAGGCTCACTCCATGGCCTTGGAAGGAAGGGGGGCTGGTTCTCGAAGGTGAGGATGAAACCAGTTTCAGAAGACCCCAGACCTCCTTCTAGAACCCCTCCTCCTTATATCCTCAGCAACGTTACTCCTACTTCTTTCCCCAGGGGACCAGGTTGGAAGGAAGACGAGGTGTTGCACTCACGTGAGGACTGTTCAGGCTTTCTCCCCAGAGCGCAGGTGATGAGGAGGATGAGGAAGAGGGAGGTGGCTGCCATGGAGACTTTCATCCTCCTGGCGGTGGAGACCTTTATCCTCTTGTTGGGGAGCTGCTGCAGGGGAAGAGCTGACCTGGTAGGGACTTTGGAGGCTTCTGGGCTGAGGAGGTGTTGAGAAATGATCATCAAGGCAAAATATTTTTTAAAATGAGGGAACTAAGATGACAAAGGAAGTGGGGAGTAGCGATGCCTCAGCAAATTCATATCCTGCACGTTGTTGAGGGTGGAGCAAGGGAAGCCTGGAGAGCCAAGATTTCAGGGAGCAGATTGCCTTCCATGCCTAGTGGGAATAAATTTAACTCCTTTGGTATAAGCTCTTCTTTTGGTGGAGGCCACAGCACAGGGCCTGGGGGTACTATTGCGTACTTTGTCCAAGATCTCAAGGCTGGGAGGTCACTTGCATCCAATTCCAGTTCTGGGCCTGGAATAAGGCCATGTGGGGGGATTCAGGATCTCTTCGTCTAGAGATCAGAGAGGATTTGGGATACCAGGATGAGGCCTGGAACCCCCCAAGTCTGGTCTTACTAATCTGGGCTAGGAACCCCTCACTTAATCACTTAAGCAGAACCTCCAGCTCCCAGACTTCTCACCGCCCTCTCACCATACCCTGGGGTGAAGAAGTGCCACGATGCTCCATAGATAATTAACAAACATTACATAACAGCTATATGCACTAGCCACTGTCCCAAATGTTTTATGAATATTAGCCCATTTAATCTTTAAATCAACAGTTGACTAAACTGAGGCACAGAAAGCATAAATAACTTGCCCAAGCTTTGACAGTTGATAAGAGGAATCAGGGTTCAAACCTGGGCAGGCTAGTTCCCAAGTCTGTGTTCTTAACTGCTATGCCCTGGAGAAACGTGGGACTCTCCCATCCCCACTAAGCTGTCACTGAAAGTGTCTTGGCTAGTGTGGCTTTTCTGCAAAGCCTTTAGTCTGAGCCCTTTCTGAGCTCAGGTGGATCCCTTTGGGACCTTCTCCTGGTTTCTGACTTTTGTTACAGAGAAGCTTGATGGGTACCTAAAAAAATCCTTGTTCAGGGATGGCTAGTAGGCTTCATTGATTAGGAGTGGACCAGAGTTCTGTGTTGGACACCATTCTGAGGCTATATCCACATGCCTGAAAGGGAGTGCTGTGACTAACATGTGGTTCCCATTAGGGTGCAGCTCATAGGCTGTGTATTGCCATCCTTAGATTAGTCTAAACTGGCTATTTATGGAGGAGCATTGGGGCCAGGAAGGGCCAGGGACTTGCTCATTTTTACAGGATAACTGGGATGCAGAAGAGATCCACCTCAGTCCAGTGGCCTTTACCGTGCTCTTCTTGTTGGGGGCCCTTGGCCTGTTTTGCTTGCTGCTCTGATTAGAAGGCTGTTCACATCCTCTTTTCTTGACTGGACTCATCAGGGCAGGGAGCCCCTGTTCTTTATCTTTGCCCATTCACACAGGGCCTAGCATATAGCAGGTGATTTATAAACAAGTGTTTTAGAAGAATCATGAATAAATAAATTGAGCTGGTTGAAGGATGTACATCCCACAGAAAACATGCTGGGGTGCCAAGATAGCCATACATGTTCTGTATTTGTTATCCTCGATAACAATGCTCTCTAAACTCTCCAGATCAAATAACAATCACCATTAGGAACAATCTAAGGAAATAAGTTGTTTTTGGGGAGTACATGAGTTGGAAGGAAACAGTGTTTACTGTGTTTTCCTGGAGACTTAGCCTCCCAGCCAAGTTGTTGCTAGGAAACTTACAGGAAATCCCTTTATTTTCTAAGAAATTATTAAGTTCCTATCTACCTTAGTCTGTATATGCTAATTGCTATAATAACCCCTAAATCTAGGGGATTAATTAAATGAAGGCTTATTTCTTGCTCAACTCGCAGTCCAATGTTTGTGAGCAGTGGGATGACGGTGTGTGTGTTGGGAAGGGCTGTTCATGCACCTGTTCAGGGGCTAAGGCTTCTATCTGTGGTTTCCCCCAGTTTTAACACAAGACCTCCCAATTTGCTACAAAGGGGAGAGGCAGAAGAGAGCTGGGAGATTTTCATGTACCAGTCCTAGAAATGACATAAACAAGTTTCACTTACACTCCATGGCCAGAATGAAGTCACCTGGCTCCAACTTAATGATGAAAATATGGAAAATATTGATCATCTGTGTGCTCAGGAGGACAAGGAATGGGTTTAATGACTACATCACTTCTTTGCCACAATATCAAATGCCAGGTACCGGGCTATGCTCAGAGGGTGGGAACGAAGATGACCCTGACCTCAGAGGACTCCTAGCTTAAGGAGGGACTCAAAAGAGCAAATGAAAATTGCAATACAGTGGGATGAATAGAATTTGCTAGCAACATGGAGACCTTAAATGTTCTATTGCCCACTGGTTAAGTATGTGGAACTTATTTTAAAAATATTAGAAATGTTTTCCAAAGCAACACATACATTGATTAAAAAAAAAAGAGTACAGAAAGAGTGTGTAGGACATATATTTTTGGAGTTCCTGCTTGTCTGAAGAAGTCATTACTCATCCCTCATACTTGATGGATATTTTTGCTGGGTATAGAATTCTACCTTGAGAGTATGAGAATTTTTTTGCAAGGGGGAAGGAACTTCTGTTTGTGTGTGTTTGTTTGTTTTCCAGGTTTTTCCTCTCTAGATTTTTTTTTTAAGTTAATGGTCTTTGTATTGGAAAAAAAGGCTAGCGTTTACAACTTGGAATAGACATAAATTGTAATTTCTTGCACAGCAATGTTGATGGTTGTGTAGAGTCCACAACCACAGCCTATGCTGCTGTCTCCAAGTCATGGTTCAGAAGGGTTTTAAAAACAGAGTCCGAAGATGGTCCCTTCCTTTTTAAAACTTTGTGCGAATGGTGACATCCTGACACCTATTTTTCTCTAGTACAACAAGGACAATGCTAAGCCAACACATGCAGCATGCCACCAGGATGAGTGCCATCATCACCATAGGTCAGGACACATGGAAGTACAAGAGGACCATTCTGCTAAGTGGGGCTATGTCTAGACAGTTAATCCTTCCCCCATTTTTCTGCACAACATTTTGAGGTAAACCAATTTTAAATGTTTGTTTTCAGTAAACCAGCCCTGACAATTTATACTAACAAGTTGAACTAGAATCCATTTGAATAGGTTTTCAATTTTTTTTCATTGATCATTTAAAAAAAAAGATTTTATTTATTTATTTGACAGAGAGAGACCACAAGTAGGCAGGCAGAGGGGTGGGGGAAGCAAGCTCCCTGCTGAGCAGAGACCCTGACTGGATCCCAGGACCCTGAGATCATGACCTGAGTGGGAGACAGAGGCTTAACACACTGAGCCACCCAGGCGCCCTTATCATTTTTAACACAAATGCCTGATGGTGCTCAATTATCAGGCAACATGCAAGAAAAATTGGTCATCTCAGACAGTGTATTAATCATGAGCAAACAGAACTGCAAGGAATCCACTAAATGCTTCTTGATCATTAAGGTAGTACAAGTATTTATATTGTAAAACTGATGACAGCTTGATCTTTAAAGGATAAGACAACCAACCGATACGTGCAGATTTTGTGTGTGTGGACCTAAGGTAGCTTTGACATTCAGTTTTGCTGTAGAGAAACAGAATGAGTAAGTGATTTTTTTTTTTTTTGCAAGAGATAAGTAAAATATTCAATTGGATTCTTCCAGAGGGGGAAAAAGGAGTTGAAAGTAGGTCTTCATTTTGCAGTCATCCTCTATATGAATTCTTCATAGTCGACTTGTCCATCTCCATCAATATCTGGTTCTCTGATCATTTCATTGACTTCTTCTGCCAAGTTTCTTGTGACATGAGGTAGTTTTGCTATACTGATGTAACCAGTGCCATACTTGTCAAAGACTGGGAGTGTCTCATGAATTTCTTCTTCACTGTCTGTATCTTTTATTTTTCTAGCCAACATAGTAAAAAATTCTGGTTAGTCAATGGTGCCATTACCATCAGCACCCACCTCATTGATCAGATCTTGCCATTGGACTTCTGTTGGGTTCTGACCCAGACACCTCATGACAGTTCCAAGTTCCTTTGTTGGGATGATGCCATTGTTGTCTTTGTCAAATTGTTGTCTCTGCTCTTTGTCTCTCAGAGCAGAGAGAGCGAGGGTGGCTGCCTCAGTGCAGGGGTTGTGATGATGGGGGATCTCCCACTACTGCTGCTGTTAAGGTGTGGTGGGCACTCACACTGTGAGTAATGGCCTCCTGCCTGTGAGGCTCCCAGCACTACCACCCCATTCTCTAGAAGATTTTAAGATTTCTGACTTATCCTTTTCTATTTTTTAAAACTTTTTGGCAGAAAACCATGACCCAAGGCTCATCTTATGCTTTGCCCCACCTCTGGGAATCAACCATATCTCCAGTGAGTCCTGGCTCCCATTAGTAAAGGATGGTTTTGAGAAATCTGGGTCCCTAGGGGCTCATTGCTTATGGGAAGGGCATAGCTCTTAGGTCTGAGCTCTTAGTGGACAGGAAACCAAGAAATATATTGAAGCATATATGTGTAAATGTGTATATAAATTTATATCTATTTCTATTATATTATTCTATATATATTACATATAATATGTATTATATTATTCTATTATATGCTAATATATTATTCTATTATATTATATCAATCTCACACATTTATAGCAATTTCTATATCATTAGTCTAGCTATAAGAAAAACCAAAAGTTTATACCAATACATTTAATTCCAAGTGAAGACCACAAGGTTGGTTTTAATCTTCCCTTTCTGTGTGTTTCCCTCTTTGCTTTAACAGTGAGAAATCTGGCTCCCATTAACCTCAATATGTCTACCTCTTTGCATTGTCCTCTGCATATACCAAATCCTCTGGCCATACTGGATGTATCTTCAGTCCCAGTCACACTGGCCTCAACCATGGGGATCATGCCCTCTGCCCCAGTCCTAGCTGAGTGCTCAGGTGAGCCCCCTGGTTCACACCAAGAGAGTGAATACATGAAGGGGAGAAAAAAGGGAGAGAAGGGAATAAGCTATATATTTTAAAATCTTCACTGTGGCTCTAGAAGCAAAAGAGTAAAAATATAGGTGTTTACATTTGTTGTTTTATGCCTTGATTTCTGCACAGCTCTTCGAAGTTTTTGTTTCAT